GTCCAGGAGCTCCTCTGGATGGTTGGTTGTAGCTGAGAGTCGTCCTCAACACGTCATCTGAGAGCCAACAGGTGCTGAAGGATGATCTGAGTGTGGGTCTGCAGGAATGAGCTGGGTGGGGTCAGGGGGGTCGAGTGACGCCAGCAGCTGAGGGGCTGCAGATCAGGTGACCCGTGAGGCTCAGAGCAGAACTCAGCCGGTCCATCAGAACCTCAGTCTGCAGGATCTGAAGCTTTAGTCCCTCACTGTTCTGGTAACAAAACCTTCCTTCAGACAAAACCTAAACATTATTCAACTCTTCATTAACGGATCTGGATCAGGTGGAGCTGACAGGAAGTGGACTTCTTTTAAAACATATTTAACCCTTAAAAGCTGAAGTTCTTCATATTCTCCCTCAGAACACMGAGGTTACGTTCATTTCTCTTCCTCTGGGTTAAATGCTGCTTTTAGAGCATCGACTACAGCGGTTTTCAACTTTTTAACTTCTGGACCACAACAGAACCGACCCCAGATATTACTGGTTTACGTACACAAGCTTTGATTTAAATTATTCTGTTAAATTTTTCATAATAACATAAACAAACCCATGATACCTTCATTCATTTATGGTCATGTGCATAACTTTTTTTGCAAAGATTTTGGTAAAAAAAAAATTCAATTAGCAATTTATTTGCATTTAAATTAACGTCTGGAAATCATCTGGGAACCCTCATTTCATGTTTCATGACCCTCAGAGGGGTCCTGACCCCAACTTTGGGAACCACTGAACTAGCCTTTTCAATGCCAACGCTAGCTTATCCATGCTAGTCACTAGCCTCTCCGATACTAAGACTAGCTTATCCATGCTAGTTGTTAGCCTTTCCGATGCTAACGCCCGCTTATCTATGCTAGTCACTAGCCTCTCCAATGCTAACGCCAGCTTATCTATGCTAGTTGCTAGCCTCTCCGATACCAACACTAGCTTTTCCATGCTAGTTGCTAGCCTCTCCAATGTTAACACCAGCTTATCCACGCTAGTCGTTAGCCTCTCCGATGCTAACGCCAACTTATGTATGCTAGTCACTAGCCTCTCCAATGCTAACGCCAGCTTATCTATACTAGTTGCTAGCCTCTCCGATACTAACACTAGCTTATCCATGCTAGTTGCTAGCCTCTTGAATGCTAACACCAGCTTATCCATGCTAGCTGCTAGCCTCTCCAATGCTAACACTAGCTCATCCATGCTAGTTGCTAGCCTCTCCAATGCTAACACTAGCTTATCCATGCTAGTCGTTAGCTTCTCCGATGCTAATGCCAACTTATCTATGCTAGTTGCTAGCCTCTCCGATACTAACACTAGCTTATCCATGCTAGTTGCTAGCCTCTCGAATGCTAACACCAGCTTATCAATGCTAGTTGCTAGCCTCTCCAAAGCTAACACTAGCTTATCCATGCTAGTCACTAGCCTCTCCGATGCTAACGCCAGCTTATCTATGCTAGTTGCTAGTCTCTCCGATGCTAACACAAATGAACAGTCTCCTTCTCAGTTACCAGCTGCTCAGTTAGCGGTGCCGGCCTGTCATTAATCAGATCAAYAGCTGGTTTAGGAGCAGATACAGCTTCCTGCTACAAGAATGTATCAACGGCTGGTTGTGCAGTGGTTAATTTTGGCCCTCATACTGCACCGTACTGTTGGAGCAGACACGAGCAGACCTKCTGAGACGTTTCTCTGCTCGTCTCGTCATTGATGATCAGAAACAAACAGATGTGAGCTGATGTTCTGTCACAGCTCCTGGGTTCTGCAGCTTAGATGATTCCTTCAGACAGATGCGTTCCTCCTGCAGCGCCACTAAAAACTAGATTTAACATTTCATGACTCTGCAGTTCTCCGCTCACACACACACACACACACACCTCCCACTGACTCCTCAAACAAGAGGAAACAACTGGAGACCTTTTTACAATCCAACATTTCAACAAACGTCCTCCTCAAACCCGACATCCAGGAGAACCGAGACGAAGTTCTGCTGCTCTGAGGAGGAGCTCTACACCCAGTTCATCCCCTGGTTTGAAATATTTTACTGATTCAACATGGCTGCCTCAGGTATGAAGAATGCTACAAATAATGAGCTAAAGTTTCTTGTTGAACCAGGCAGATCCCAGAGATCACAGCTGAGTCGTTGAACACAGACAGGACCAACAGATCAAGAGAASATCTTTGACTAAAACACTTGTAGGTTGGCTGGTTATTATTCAGGTCTATTGCCCAGCATGTTCATGTTTTAACGCACATGTCAAAGTTAAGGCCTGCGGGCCAAACGTGGACCACCACAGCATTTTATGTGGCCCGCGAGAGCTTCAAAGGTGTAATAATGTTTTTAAATGAATGTCAGCATTAATCATTAACTACTAGGGGTGCAACAACACATGTACCCATGTCGAACCGTTCAACACACACTTGTATCGAACAATACAGATTTTTAAAATATATTTTA